TCCAACCCTTGAGGGTTGTCTTCTTCCCCTTCTGGTAACCCTCTGACCCTCACATTAGGTTTCTTTCACACTAATCCACATCTTTGTAGCTTTGCTTCTTTCTCTTGTTTCTCTGCTGTATCTCTGTGACTGATTTATTTAATTGGAGGGTGTTATCTTCAATCTCTGCGATTCTTTCTTCTGTTTAATCTACACTGTTCTTGAGACTTTCCACTGTATTTTGTAGTTCCCTGAATTGATTCTTTATTTCCAGGAGTTTGGTTAAACTTTTCTTCATTGTGTCTATTTCTTTAGTGAACTTTTGTTCCAGGTCCTGGAGGCTTTTTGTGGTTTCTTTGTGTTGGTTATTGAGTTGTTGTTGCAGTCGCGTGAGTGTTCTTGATGATCTATATACGAAATTCCTCTTCTGCCATTTTGGTTGCCTGATTTGGGTTGCGTGTCCGTTTCTAGGGGGCTGTGCTACTCTTGGGGGTGTGTTTCCGTTTGGTTCTTCATATTTCCTGAGTTCTTCGCTGATTTCTTCCCATGTCGATCAGTTGTTGTTTCTTTCCTTTAGGTTTTTGTTTGGGTATTCACACGCCTTGTTTAGTTTCTGAGTCGTTAGTGGTGTCTGTGGTGAGATTCGACCACTCCCTGTATAATGAGTCAGTGGGTGCCGTGAAAAGGCTGTGCAGGATGCCATCCCTGTCAGTAGGTGGCGCTTGCTTGGAGGAACAGGCTATGCTGTTGTTTTTGTGTCCTGTTATCAGCTCTTGTTCTGGGCATAGCTGGGTTGGGTAAGCCTGCCCTCAGGCACCACCAATGCTGTTAGCAGGGGTCAAAGTTCTGTTCTCTGCTTCCAGGAAAAGCTGTCAGGGTGGGGTTGAAATGGCCCCGCTCAGTCAGAAAGTCTGCTTGTGTGAGTGGGGCTGTCTGAGACCCGCAGTCTGGAGCGGGCCTCGCTTCTTTCCACCCTCCCCAACTCTGCAGCTACTTCTGGGCCTCTGCCAGCAGGCCAGACCACACGCCACCAGGCCTCCCCAGATTGTGATGTTGGCAGGGAAGTTCCCTGTGCTGAAACGCCACCTGGGCTGGGCATACGGCCTCCTTTTGGGAGGAGGGTTGCCCTCTAGGATGCTGATCTGCCCCTGAAGGCACACACACCTCAGTAGGCTGTTCACATATATCCCTTCTGTGCCCCGGGCAATGCTAGACCTCTGTGCACGGGATCTGGTCTGCAGGTCCGACCTCTGGGTCCCAGAGTTCAAACTGTATCCCCACCAGGGAGAGGAGTTCTGGTCCCAATTCACCCACAGGGAGCCCAAGGTGGGTCTATGTCTCTCACCCTCTGAGTCTGCACCGTTTTCCTGGCAGCACCGTGTCAGCAGCACCTGGGAGGGCTGGCAGGTAGGGAGCTCACAATCTGAGTTCCCCTTAGTCAGCTGTAGGGTCCCAAAAGGGAAGGTCCCGTTCCCTGGAGGTGCCTCCGGCTGGTGGCTATATTGTCTCTCTGGACAGCCGCGGGTAGGGTCTGCGGAGGGGAGAAGGAGACAATATCGCACCTGCCTCGTGGCTCGGGTCCGTGCACACGGAGGTGCCCGGAGGGAGTTGGGAGCCTGGTGCCGCGTCTGCTACAGGCTCACCGCTAGCTGGCGGCGGCCGTCTGTGGGCTGGTGTCGCAAGTCTCTCCACCCGCTGGGGAGCCCACCAGCAGTCCCAAATGCAGGGGAGGGGAAAGGTGACTTATCCACCTACCCTTCCCACTGGTCTCCGGGCTGCTCTGGTGGTCTCAGCTTCCAGTTCTCCTCCGCAGCCTCCTCCCGTGGAGTCTCCCAGGGTCTCAGGTACCCCTCCTTCTGGCCCTCGTTGGCTGTATGCTCGTCTTCTTGCTTCTTTTTTCTAATTTCTGCTAGAATCTCTTTTCTGCAGAGACACTCTGTCTGGCGGTGTTTCTCGTCCACCATCTTGATCCCTCTGTGTGTGTGTGTTTATACTTGCTCACCATAAGGTAATTTCCTATCTTTCCCCATTTCACCAATGTTGTAAATTTTAGACCTAATAAAATATAATTTAAAAATAAGAATAATGTTGGCTGTGTTTTAGTTGTATAGCATGGGTCGGTAAACTTTTCTATAAAGGGCCAGATAGTCTTATTTTAGTCTTTGTGAGTCATAAGATTTCTGTTACAACAGTTCAACTCTGTGGTGATGTTACAGCAAACTGGACCAGGAAACAAACCGAAAGCCACACAAGAGTACTGCAAAACAGGCTTTTATTATGCTGGTGGGCTCAGAGGGGTCTTGCCTTCAAATTCTGAGCAAAATGGGGTCAGAGCATAGTGGCTTATATATGATACAGAAATAAATGGTTACAAAGTCTGTACAAGAGCTGGTCTACTCGTGTTACTCTCTAGTTGCTTAGTCATGCTATTTTGCAGTTATGCACAAGATTGAAATCTAGTCAAAGGTCACTCTTTAGTTGCTTAGTCATGCTAGTTTGCAGTTATGCTACTGTTAGGAAAGGAGTGGAAAACTCTCCCTTACACACTCCCCCCTTGATGCCCCTAAGTGCGATGCGGCTATCACCACTGCGTCAGTGGGCATCACCTAAATTGTTTAGTGGACAGTATGCTTGGAGGGCCATGATGCAGGCTGTGGCCCTTCAGGTGATTGTAGTTTCTATGAACTTAATGATCTGGCTGAGAACGCAGGGCCCTATAGTAACAAGAAAGGGAATGGTTATGAAGGGACCAGGGAGTGCAGGTAACCAGGAAGACCATTGTCCCAAATTGAACCCTAACCAGTTTTGGCTTTCCTGTCTTTTTCGTTGGATTCTTTTTCTTAGTTCATTTATCTTTTGTGTTACTATCCCTGATTGGTTGACATAATAACAACACTCCTCCCCCAGGAATACACAGGTTCCCCCTTTTTCAGCAGTCAGGAGATCTAGAGCTTTCTGGGTTTGAAGGGTCACTGCTGCTAAGGAGTTCAGTTGGCTCTGGAGGGTAGCCATGGAGTCTGCTATATGTTCTATGTCATCTGCCAGTTCCTGGGATAGTTTTTGGTAAATGTGTAGTGAGGTCTCTAATCCCCCAAATCTGGCTCCCATGCTCGTCAAAATACCTGCTCCTGTGAGGAGTGGGATGAGTAGAGGGGCTGTGCGTTTTTGGGGGGTTTTTTTGGACATTTAGGGGAGGGTTTAAGGCCAATTTGATCTGGGAAGTATTGTAGATACTTCCCAACTTGAAACATCTGGGACCAGGAATATTTGGGTACAGACCCTGGTCCAACCGTCCAGAAGACAGAAATATAAAGTCTCACCACATAGGAAGAACATGCCTTCTCAGGGACAGAGAATATTGGAACTGTAGGTGCGATTTTTGTCTCATAGATTGCCTGGGAGAGTCCCTACAGGCTTGCTCCTTCTTGAGCTGAGGATGCAAGTGACATTAAATGATCTGGCCAGGCATACACCACCAGATGTCAGTGGTCCAATTAGGACGGTTTTATTGGGTTCTGGCGCAGGGGCTCTCCAACCTGTGGGTCTTGGAATCCCCAGGTATAGTTGCCTGTTGAGGGGTAAGCAAATCCAACATTGGGTCTAATTAGGTAATGCCTGGAGTGTGCTATTAACAATCTGGGCTATCTCTTGGCAGGACTTGGCAGAGTTTTGGAAGGCGAGGAAATTGGCTTTTGGGGTGCTCACCCCTTGATTTGCATCTTGTTTTATCAAGAGCCCTGCTCCATAAGCCCAACAAGACATGTCGCCTCGTTTTCCCCCATAAGTATTTCCTATTAAGTGCCCTTCCCAGAATGTTTTTTGTTCTATGGATACATTTTTGTAGGCCAGTGACACAATCTGGCATAGGGGTTGTAGTTTGAGCCTGGAACTCATAGGTCACATAGGGCCCTGTTTCTAGGTCATCAATCCTTACAAATTTGCTACACGAAGGGGAACGTGGCTTTTGAGTATTTACATGTATGAGTAAGGAAACCAATATTAAAATTTTTAGTTGCATCTTGTACCAACAACCTGTACCCCATATTAGGTTGATAGGAATATCCAATTAGAAATAGGGGCCCCACTATAGTCCAATACAATATGACAAAACAAAAGTGCAATGCCCAATAGTAGGGCCTGTAGTCCTGATAAGCCAATGGGGATATAGGAAATCAGTCCAGTCAGGTCACTGCATTGGAGGGGGATCTTTAGTGGGTCTTTTGAGTCCTGCTCTGCCATCCAGGTGTCTCAGTCCTCTTCAGATGATGCTCCTTTTTACTCGGGTGTGGTGGATCCAAGGAGTTATTCTTGCAACCTTAACAGCAGTAGGTGTGATTAAGACTACAGTGTGGGGGCCTGTCCAGGTGGGCTCAAGCGGTGTCTTTTTCCAATCTTTAACCCATACAGAATCTCCTGGGTGATGGGGATGGAAAAGGATACCCCATTACTATGGGTATTCTTTCTATGACTTGATGAATTCTGCTCAGAATCTTGGACAAGGAAACAAGCTGAGCTTGTAGAGTGTCTTCTCCTATCTGGGTAATATTTCCCTTAAGCAGCCTAATTATGGGTGGGGGACTTCCATAAAGGGTGAATATCCTGATGGCCCTGGGGTATATCTCACTCTAAGTAGACCTAGGCTAAATAAGTCCACCCAGGATAGCCCAGTTTCCTGGCACATCTTTGCAAGGGTGTTTTTAAGGGTCTGGTTCATACGCTCTACTCTCTCTGAACTTTGGGGTCTATATGCCACATGGAGCTTCCACTTAATCCCCAATGCCTTTGTTAAAGTCTGCGTGATGTCTGCCGTAAAGCTTGGCCCTTTGTCACTGCCTATTGAGGGTGGCAGCCCGTAGCAGGGAACAATTTCCTTTAGAAGTACCTTTACTACTTCCCTTGTGGTTTCAGTTTGGGTAGGGATGGCCTCGACCTGTCCCGAGAAGGTGCATATCATGACTAAAAGGTATTTCACTCCTTTGCATGGTTATAGCTCAGTAAATTCCACTTCTCTATCTTCAAAGGGAGATGTTCCAACGTTTTGGATGCTTGGGGCCAGCCTAGGACGCATGGCTGTATTGTTTTGGCAGATACTTGGCAGCGGGCACAGATGGTTGCAACGGTGGACAGAAGCTTACGATTGTAGTAGTACCAGCCAAGCAGGTTGGTAAGGGCCATTTTTCCCAGGTGGGTGAGGGCATGGTAATTGGAGATAACTGTGCAGGCCAGCCTTTCTGGTATGAAGACCTGGTCATCTGGCAGACTCCACCACCCTGACTCTTTCTTCCCCTTCCTACTTTCCTTCCTTCTTTCTCATTCTCTCCTCCTCTCACTTTCTTTCTCTCTCCTTTTCTCTCTCTTTCTTCCTGCTTATTCTATACTTCCCCTCTCTCTTTCTCTCTCCTTCTTCTTTCTCTCTCTCCTTCCGTCTCACTTTCTTTCTCTCTCTCCTTTCTTCTCTCTCTCGGGATAGGATATTGCCTTTTGCAGATGGGCTGTGCTCTGGGTTTTAGCTCAACTATGACTGGAGCCCTTCCAACTGCTAGTACTCGGGGGTTGTCTTCTGCCCATACTGTCAGGAAGTTATGCCAAAACTCGGGGGAGGGGTTCTCCTTTGACGCTCGAAATGTGGCCATTGGTGTAAGGATTCTGCAGGCCCAGTGGCCGGTAGCTGCGCCCATGCACCCTGCAGCCGCATTCCCAGTGGCCATGGAGGCGCCACTCCATTTCCCTGGGGACGGTGACCACCATTATCAAGGACTGCGGAGCTGCCAATGACAGATCTGTGCCACCTTCGGGACGAAAGGTGATTTGGGCCCCCAGTTTGTGCAGGCGTCTCATCCCAATAAGGGAACTAGGCAGTCTAGGAGATAGAGGAATTCATGTGTCACTTGGTGTCCCCTGAGCTGGCATGATCAGGCTTGGCAGCAAGTCCTAGCCACCTGGCCACCAATGGCCCAAATTATCATTGTCTCCTGTCCAGTGAGAGGAGCCACCTGGGTAGTCACTACTGAGTGTTTGGGTCCTGTATGTACCATGAAAGTCACTGGCTGCCCCCCCACATCCATTGTGACCATGGGCTCCTGGAGGCCAACGTTGAGGGAGCCCGTTCAGTCCTAGGCTGATAAAGTCCTGTGTCTCTGGTTCCATCTGGAACCCCTGGACAGGGCCTCGCTGAGGGAGTGGAATAGGCGGTCTTCCAGGAGCAGCAGGAATAGGTGATCAGTGGTAGAGAAGGGCTGGTAGAGAAGTACTGGTGGCCCTGACTCCATTGACCCATTTTTGGCTAGGTGTGGCTGGCTATGGATGGGCAGTTATAGGTCTGGGCCATGGTGGTTTTGGACAGAGAGAAAGCGGTGAGCTACTGGAGTTGCTTCTGCAGGGTCATTAGGCTTCTGGTCATCAGGCCTCGGGACATCAGGCCTCGGGGGAGTGGATACTGACAGTAGTGGGGTGTCTGGTGCTGACGGAGGCCTTGATGGTGGACTCTCAACATTATAGGGAGGTGGCAGGAAGAATTCTTCATCAGATGGGCCCTGGTGCATGAGCTTGGGCCCAGAATCAGAGAAGTTTCTGGTCTGCTGAGCGAAGAGCACCCTACTCTGTTCCTTTTCTGAGCAGAACCAGACCCAGGGTGGCAGGGTTCAAGCAATTCTCAGCCAAGAATCTATATAAGGGAACTGATCTGGGTGTCCAGGGGCGCCAATAACCCGGTTCCAGACAGCCTGAACAGTGGAACATCTAGAGTTCCTGTACTACGCCATCCTACTCCAAAAGTGGGCCACTCTAATTCGCAGAGCATCTGGAGACGCCTTGGGCTCATTTTTACTCTGTAATCATCGGAGAATCCCTTTTTAAAATTTTTGATCATACACCTGAGAACAGTTGGTTTGGACTTAGACCCTACCCCCCATAATGTTCCTACTGATTGGTGCTGCACAGGGTGGGGTAACTTTCAGTGTCCTCCTAGCTGCTCCCCTCAAGGGGATTTAAGGCACATCTTGGCTAAGGTGCACCTGTATAAACGCCGGGCCAGGTCACTTTTCCTTTTGGGAAAGTGAGTCATCATTATGCCGTATGATGCTGCCACAGAACCGCAGGGATGGACCCAGCCAGACTCCGTGGCTTTCGCCGTGGAGCCGCAGCACTCACGCACTCATCCGCCCAGCCAAGAGGTTATTATCAAGGACTGCGGAGTTGCCAATGACAGATCTGTGCCACCTTCAGGACGAAAGGTGATTTGGGCCCCCAGTTTGTGCAGGAGTCTCATCCCAATAAGGGAACTAGGCAGTCTAGGAGATAGAGGAATTCATGTGTCACTTGGTGTCCCCTGAGCTGGCATGATCAGGCTTGGCAGAAAGTCCTAGCCACCTGGCCACCAATGGAATCCTAGAACCTTTTCAGGAGGTGCTCAATCTCCTCTTCTGTCCTAGAAGGCTTCTAGCCTTTCCTTAACAGGAAGTCTAGCCTTCGTCCTGGGACGGGTCCGACTACAGGGCAGGGTCCCGGGGTGGTCTGACCGCGGTTCGGATGGCCGTTTCTGGTTCCTGGTTGCACACACTCTTTCCATGTACGGGTTGGTTCGAGGAGCGGTGGTCAGCGGAGACCCTCAAATGAAGAGGAGAGTGTCCCCAGTGGGGACCGTGGCGTGCCTGGAGCCTCACCAGTCGTCAGGGTCGGCCGGCCAGCGTCCTGTCCCGAACGGTGGGCTCAACGGCCAGAGCTATCAGGGTTCCCGGTCAAGGAACCAGATGTTACAGTAAACTGGACAGGGAAACAAATCGAAAACCACACGAGACTACTGCAAAACAGGCTTTTATTACACTGGGGGGCTCAGAGGGGTCTTGCCTCCAAATTCTGAGCAAAATGGGGTCTGAGCATGGTGGCTTTTATATGATACAGAAACAAATGATTACAGAGTCTGCACAAGATCGTGGTCTACTCACCTGTCACTCTATAGTTGCTTAGTCATGCTATTTGCAGTCATGCACAAGATTGAAATCTTGTCAAAGGTCACTCTTTAGTTGCTTAGTCATGCTAGTTTGCAGTTAGCTACTATTAGAAAGGGAGTGGAAAAATTCTCCCTTATAGGGATACCACAAAAATAATCATAAACAATATGGTAATTGAAGGGGTGTGGCTATGTGTTAATAAGATACAGCTACAAAAACAGGCGATGGGCAGGTTTTTACTACATTCTTATTTTTATTTATTTATTTATTTTTATTTTAGCATATTATGGGGGTCCAAGTGTTAAGCTTATGTATATTGCCCATGCCTCCCCCCTCGAGTCAGAGCATTTTTAAATAAAAAGATTGTCATAGATACAACATTTTGTTCATCTTTTCATCCACTGGTAGACATTTGGGTTTTTTCCAAATGTAAAGTTTTTATTCTTTGTTTTAGTTTCAAGACGCATGGAATCAACTTAAGAGACTGTAAGATGTGCTGAGAAGAGGGAAGTCTGCATGCAAAAGTACAATTAAAGCAGCACCCCAAATAACTTGAGTATTTATAAACCAAATAAGCAGTGTAGTATGAGATTGGATCATTTATGATAATAAGTACATTTGTGTGAAGCCAATAAATTATTTCAGTATTAAGCTATTTTGAAATGCATACTTTTTGTATATTATTCCTAAATTTTACATGCTATTCACAAAACACAACTAGAAAAACGATATAGTTGACCAAATGACCTACTTTTCAAATACTTAAGAATTTTTGTAATTATACCTTCAGATGTTTATTCAGATATTTTAAAAATATTTTAAAAATATTTTTGTGAGAATAATTATTTTAAAATATACATTTTAGGCTTGAAGAAGAAAATTCCCAGTTAAGAGATAAAATCAGAACGCAAGTAGACAGAATTGAACAGCTTCAGAAATACCTGTTAAGTGAAGGAACGGTACGTCAGTCTCTTGATTTCTGTCACACTAAAGAAGAGTTTTATTTATCTGGTAGTCCAGGTTGAGTATCTCTTATTCAAAATGCTGGGGTCCAGAAGTGTTTCATATTTTGGAATGTTTATATATACATAATGAAATATCTTAGGTATGAGATCCAAGTCCACACATGAAATTTATGTATGTTTCATACACACCTATGCACATAGCCTGAGGGCAATATGAGGCAATGTTTTTTAATAGTTTGTGCAGGAACCAAAAGTTTTGAGTGTGTTTTCACTGCACCTTGTCTTGTGAGGTCAGGTTTGGAATGTTCCACTTGTGACATCATGTCCATATTCAAGAAGTTTCAGATTTTGAAGCATTTTGGATTTTATATTTTCAGATGGGAGGCTGTTGAACCCATAGTATAGATGCTTCCCAACTTAATGGGGTTATATCCTGATATAACTCTGATATAATCCTGAACCCACTGCAAGTTGAAAATATCATAAGAAGAGTAAATATCATATAAAATATCATAAGAAGAAAATGCACATGATACACCTAACCTATGACCATCATAGCTTAGTCTAGCCTCCCTTGAACGTGCTCAGCACATTTTCCTACAGATAGGTGAAATCATCTAGCACAAAGTCTATTGTAATAAAGTACTGAATCTCTCATATACCACACATCACTGCCACTGACATGATGCAGATTAATAGGAGGAAAAATTAGAAATTTATAACATGGGAGCCTTCAGAATGAAAACTCAAAGATACAGGGGAAATGTTCCATTTTTATGCTTAGGGTCAATAAAGTATGGACAGCTATGTAGAAATAATGATCGCACAGACAGGCTGAGAGGCAGAAACCAACAAGGCCTATCTAGACTCTGCGTGGCCTGAGTGTGCATTCCTTCCTTCTGGGTGTGGGGCAGGGCCTTTTCTGGAATGGGGGTTTTATAGTAAAACAAAGTAGGTCAAATCATTACTTTAGAGCCAGTTTTTACATAGAATAATTTTAGGGTTTATAGCTAGCTTTCAGAAAAAGTGGTTCTGGCTCTTATGACCTGCCTTAGGGAAGTGGGGTTCTGATTTTTATGGCTAGCGTCAGGGAAGTGTGGGACCAAGAGGCAGCAAGACAGGGGAAGGTCAGAGAACTTTGGCTTCTGAGGCCTTCATTTTAGGGTAGTTTTCTGAGCCTCATCAAAATGATCCCACTTTAGGCTTTGATGAAAAGCCTTTAGTACCAATCCTTGACACCTCAGACAATGACACGAAGTTATAACATGTTTTTCTTACATGATGATCAAGATTAAGCTGTTTGAAAAACAATCTAGTCTCAAAACATTTTACAACTTAGTTGTAAACTTGAGTACATGTAATATTTCTAACAAGTAGGACTCTTTTGAGATTCTCCTTGGATTTTAACCATCTTTTTTAAATTTTAAATTACTATATAAAAATTAACAGTTTAGGGTTTTCGCTAGGAAAAAAACTTTGCCATAGCAACTTAATGTACACCTACTGTAACTGGCTAGCTTGTTAAGAGTAGGACAAAAGTAGACAAGACCAAGGGAGAACTAAAGCTCCCAATTTAAGCTTTTGTAACTATGATTTCTAGGACAGCTTTGAATCCTAACAGTAATGTTAATGTCAGCTTATAGAAAGAGTGAGTTAGTAATATGTTTTATATGTACCTTTCCACAGACATTCAAATCAGTGTAAGAAACTGTATCTGAAGCTAGGATTAAGAAACAAAATATTTTACAAAATATTTTTGTAAACCTTGACCATAAGTGTCTGTTTTTGTGCTCTATTTACTTGGCATTTTATTTATTCTAATTTGCTGACACTTATTTTTTTAGGCACATCTACATTTTTACTTAATTAAGAACTTTAAAGTTAAACACATGAGTATTTTTGTTGATAACTCAGGAGGTCTAGCTATTATCATTAGACCAACAATATGAAATTTACTTTACATATCAAAAATCATATGAACACAGATCATTGTATTTGGATGGGTTCATAGTTTTATAACCTTTGCATCAAACCCTGACTTGACGAACATAAACATGTCCAGTAAAACCCAGGCAAAAAATGTACATTGATAATAAGATTTTATTCCAGTTCACAAAGGTAGGCTCAGTATTTCTTCTGATCTTCACAGGATTCCATGAAAGCTCCCAATGTCCCCCCTCACATCACAGCTGGAGGAGCTGACCCAGAGCCCTGAAGGCCCCTGCTGGGCTCTGCTGGCCAAGTGGGGGCCCATTCAGTCAGCTGGTGGGGGGAGCCTTAAGATTTTATCTTAACTCACAACTTCCTTGAGTACCAACACTCAAGACCCTTTTCCTCAGCTTCTGAATTCCTCTCTCAGAGAAGCTCCAGCCCTGTGGCTTGGGTCTGTCCCTTTTCCCTCTGAGCTTTCATCTCTGACCTGGTATGTCTTCCCAAAGGCAGTTGCCCTCAGCAGGTAAAGTATTCAAGGATCACTGAAAGTCTAGAAGAGAGTTTATATAAGGGGAGGCTACTCCTGGGTTGCAACAGAGGCAACTACTTCTCCCACGTGCTCTTTAAGAGTTAGGAGAAAGTAATGACTCAGCTTAATTTTGTTATACAAAAAGTATTCTCCATCTAGAGAGTTCATATTTCTTCAGGATAAAACTAAGCAGACTTCATTTTCATCTAAGGAAAATTTATGTATTATGAAAGTATTTTTGATTGGAAGTAATGAAATCTATTACCCAGGAAGTAAATATTTTAGAGAAGAGTTTTTTGGGGAAAAGATAATAATATTACATTAGTAGTTCCTTAATTCAAACCATGAAAAAAATGTGTATTTTACATAGTGTTTATTGAGGCTTATATAAGATTTTTTCAGTAAACACTTCTCCCTTATCTGGTATTGAGTTATTTCTTTTTCAAGACCTGACTGGTAATAATTTTGTCCTATTATTCTTTGTATAATGCCTATGTCAATTGAAAAAAGCCAAACTCTGTAAAATAATTTTAAAGAGATTTATTCTGAGCCAAATTTGAGGACCATGACCCGGAGCCACTGCCAAGAGGCCTTGGGCAAGTGGACTCGTGACTGGGTTACAGTTTGGTTTTTATACATTTCAGGGAAACAGGGGTTATAGGTAAAGTCATCAATCAATATGTGGGAGGCACACATTGGTTTGGCCCAAAAAGGTGGGACATCTCAAAGGGGCGTGGGGGTTACAGGTTATAGGTGGATTTAAAGATTCTTTGGATTGTAATTGGTTAAAGACATGAAGCTTTGTCTAAAGGCTTGGAATCTTTTAACATAAGGAGCTGTTATCAGAGATAAGTCACCAGACATAGATTTGTTGTGTAAATTGAGGGCCTGCAGGTTTGTCTTGCATACCCTTAGGCCTGTTAATGGGTTACAAAGGAAGTCCCCAAGAAGGGAAGGGGACATGATAAGGCATGTCTGACCTCCCTCATCCTGGCAGACAATTTAATTTTCGGATATTCCTTTGGCCACGAGGGGTTCCATTCAGTCAGCCAGTGGGGGTTGAGCCTATTTTAGTTCACACTATCTGTGCTATACTCACATGAATGTTATGGTATACAGTTTCTCAAAATATTGGTAAACCTGTTAGTCAAAAAAATTTCTCTTCACACCTGAAATTTGTAAAGTCATTGGAGAGCATATTACCATTATCTCCACAAAATATTTATTATGTTCAGTATACTGCTTCATACACTGTTCTGGACATTCAGTGAGAATGCCTACTATATAAAAGATTTAGATAAGAACACTCTGGATGGGAACACTTGCAATATAGTTTGAAATATTCTCACAATTTCCTAATTAAGTAAAGAACTGTAACTATAATTAGTCAGATGTCTCAAAATTTATAATAATTTCTGAAGAGAAATCAAAATTACAATCAAAGAGCTGTGTTTTTTTCCTTATTTCAAATTCTAGAAAGTCATGAATCAAACTAATTTTGAAAGTGGCTGTAGTCTATATTGTTTTTCAAACAAATGTTCTGAAATCCTTGTGTCCATATGAATAAAGAAATGTTAATTGTAATATAGAGAGCATAATATTTTACTTAATTGTATGCCAGTAGAACTGTCACATGATTTTATGACACTACCGCTTACTTCCTGTGCATATTTAAGATACTGTGCTGAAAAGTTAATGGTATATGTCATATTTTAAAATATTAATTTTCTAAAGGTGAAAAATGGAAAGTTCATTTCAAGGAAATATGCTTTAAAGTGAAACACCTGAATGAACTTTCATAAAGTACAGAATTTAAGAATTATGAAGAAATTCATTTCATTGCAAAATATGTCTTGAATTGTTTGTTTATACTAAGATAAACATTCACTCTTTTCAAATGATGTATATTCAATAGACAATTAGTAATTGTAATTTCTATCTCATTAAAAACTGAGCATTACACATACATGTTCTCTATTATCTAAAAATAAGTAGAAATTTTATTTCATTTATGTGATTATCTTTCTATTTAAGCAATCCTCCAGTTAGGTGAGGTCTCTGAAAGCATTAATTGAAGGTCACATTTTGCAAGTGATATATCATTCCCGTGATAATTTTTCTTGTTAAACATTACAAAAAATCTTTCATTTATTTCAGATGCAGTAGAAGTTGGGAAAAAAAACATGATTGCAAAACTAGAAAAGGGTATGTTGCCAACATTATGAGTTAAATTTAGGTTAATTATTGATTTCTGAATTCAGCGATAAATAGCCAATGTCATGCCCTTCCATTGCTTTCTCAGATACTACATTCAATTTTTTTTTCTCACACACACTTAATGAAAGGTATGAAAACATAAACATTCATCTTGGTGAGTATACTTATGCCTCACTAATTCATCATGTTATACGTAGCTTTAAAAAAACTCAAGAAGTCTGTGTATCACTTTTTTTCTAGCTCTGCGCCTTTTCACTTCTGCCACTCCTGTGGAACTGTCAGGCAGCACACCAACACTATTCTCAGAAAGCCAAGGCGCCCTTCTCAGGTGTATGGCGATTTAAGGCCAGAAGACCGATTGCACACTCACCTGTACCACTTAGTTGAGAAATTACAGCAGATAAGCAGTCACTTGACAGGTACCTTTTAAATCTCTAGTATTTACATTGTCATTGGTGTACTTTTGCCCTCAGGAAAAGTTCCAGATTCCTTAGAGTGGAATAAAAACACCCCTGTCAATTTGGTTCTTGTAAATTTACTGGGCCTTATCTCTGCCCCTTTGCTCTAGCATCTGGCCAAACCAGGCCACTGAGAAGTCCCCAGCGTCCTGCTTACCCCCAGCTCTTTGCATTTGCTGCTTCCGTCCATCAGCCATACTTGTTCCTTGTCCCTCATGGATCAACTTACATGTAATCTCCACCATAAAGCCCACAACATTGACAAATAGAAGTCCCTTCTGTGCGTTCCAATAGTGCCCTGTTTCATACCTGTCATGGTGTCTAGGACTCTGTATGGAAACGGCCTGTGTGATTTCCAGGTTACAGCATATCATACGATTGTCACCTTGTAATTGCAGTGCTTCCCACCTTAGCACTTAGCACCTTAGCACTAAGTTGTTGACTAAATTAGTAAAGAATGAGAAAAGAAGCTCTGACACTTAACCACGATAATGAATTCAATGCACAAGTATGGACAAATTTTATTTAATAGTAATTTTATGTTGTAGCTGTATATCCATATTGTTGATTCTTGTTAACACTGATAAAATTCTCAACTCTTTTTTACTGACTTCCACTTAGTTGACTATGACATATTTTAGATAAAGAATATGATTCTTTATTTTTCTTTGCAGATGATTCTGATTGGAAACTGATTGCTCTATAACTTCTTCTCTAGAATCTACAAATGAGTCAAGTCTAACATACTCTTCTCTAGAATCTAGAAATGAGTCAAGTCTAACATCTTCTCTAAAATCTACAGATGTGTCGAGTCTAATCTCAGGTTCTAGTATAGAAAGCACCTGAGAATATGCAGAAATATTAAGTAAAAATTATATGAGCTAAAAGATAACATTTTATTACTGGGCTGTTCCTGTGACATTATAATTGTTTTCCATTACATATATGTATGTGGATATCTTTTATATTAAAGGAAACTATTCTTGTATAATATATGTCTGATGAAAATTTATATAGTATTTTAAATAATATTTCTTGGCCTCTTTATCTGTTAAGTGTATTTTGCAAATGAAAGTATAATATTCAGTTTGACATAGTCAAACTGCCCTAATGTCAGCTTTTTAAACTGGCAACAAACTTGCCAAACAACCAGGTTGCCTTTAGTACTTCAGTGAAGTTCATTTATGGCTTATCTGCATTTTACAATTTTATCCCTATAAAGAGTGATAGTGTAACCAGTTTTATAAGCAAGGAAATTTTTTCTGAATAATGTTTTTAGTTCCCCCATATCTTAAATGACTTTCAGTGTTCACATTATGGCTGGGGCTTGCAGCTCTAAGTGGCCTTGCTAGCAAGATTTCTCTCAGTCCTGGGCACTTAGCAGCTACAGTCTCAAACAGGCAGCAAATAGGGAGGAGCTCTTTAGCAAAGTTTGCTAACCAGAACTTTGTAACGTTCTGTTGTACTGATGCATTTGCTTTTGAAATTTTTTCCCCAGGAACAGCGGAACCTCCTAGAAAGCCTCACACCGCCTGTGTGTCCAGGGAAGGCGAGACACGCGATGCTCCCCTGCCGCCCGTGCCGAGGACCAACTGAGCCTGCGCACAAGCTGAAAGAATGACCGACATTAACCCCTAGTTTATCGTAATACTAAAATCTCCACTCTGGGAGGGACTTACCTGACAGTTTCTGACCCTGGGTCATATGTACGAGCGTGATTTCCCACTGTGCTTGCGTGCCCTGCGCTCCACCCCAGACTCAGTGGCGCTCAGCCCCCATGCGTTATTCATTTGCCTGCAGAAAAAACCCTGGCCCTGTTGGTCGGGGAGGCAATTTGAGACAATTCATAACCTCCCCTCCTTGTTGATGCATCCCTGGAAATAAATCCTTTCTTTCTGACATCCTCACTGTCTCAGTAATTGGCTTCCTGTGCGGTGGGCAACACTGACCCCCCTGGTGGGTTCATTAGCAATAGGTTTAGATTTAGTCACACATCATTTGGGTATGCAGGCATTGTCATTGTCAGTGCTGGGGTGTACTACAGTTGTTCTAGTGCCATCAAACATATATAGTTTTAATTTTCAGCATTGGTTTATATAGATCTTTCCTCATGGAAATAGGTTTGCCTAAGGTTGCTCAGAATTCTATTTATTTATTTATTTATTTTGGATAAACTTTTTGGAAACAATCTGAAAATTAGAGAAAAGTTTCAAGTTTTAATACAAAGAACTTTTCCCCCCAAACCATTTGAGAGTGATTATATAACGAAACATATCACAGTTATTATCAATTAAAACTTCCAACATTTCCATTATTTTGCCATTGTTTTCAATGATCAACTTCAATTATCCTAGTAGCATTTTAAAGCAAATATAGCATATCATATTTACTTTGTAGCTATTTTCAGTATCTATTTCTAATGGATTAAAAACCTAATACAAATACTAGTATCATACCTAACAAAATATACATAATTTCTTAGTATCAAATAAAAACTCTATTTCAGTAATTTTTATGGTTGCAGTTATGTGGATCTACAACCACCAGATATTTTGCATGACCCATCTTAATGTTTTACATATAATATTTAGCTTAGAGACTCAAGGTAACAAAATTGAATATACTCATTGTAGATATGAGGTCAAAGACCATGATTAATGATGAAAATGTCAGACATTCCAAAGCCCATTATTCTGAAAACAGTCACAAGACAGAATCTTGAATATAATGCATATAAATAGAGGATACAAATCTTGCTTAGTTTTCCAAGTAAGATACTGGGCTCTTTTGCACCTCAGGTCTTTGCTTTTGTTAATCCCATGTCGAGAACACTTTCCCTGCATCTCTTTGTAAGGCCAGCATGTGCTCATTTATTGGTTCCGGGATTAAGAGTTAATACCATTTTAAAGCAGGTCTTCCCCACCCTCGGCCCTGACCCCACCATTCTTCATGAAAATACCTTGATGGCTGAATCAGAAAGTTTCCTGGAACTTTCTGATTTATAATTTATTTACTTGTTTATCACTATATTGCCTGTCTTTCTGATTATAAGTCTTGAGAAAAAATATTTTTGGCTCCATTGGACATGACATTTGAGTAAAAACCAAAAAAGAGAGAGAGAGGGAGTGGGAGAATAGAAGAGACAGAAAGGGAGAGAGAGAGAAAGCCACATAGGAAGTGAGATCCCATCAGAAAGAACAGCCTCAAATTTGAAAATGTTAGGAAGAAGCAGACTATGGTATTCTAGAAATTGATGGCCAATGTCCTCTTGTCATATGACAAAGGACCTTAGAGTCATGAGAAAGAGAGGATACTACCTGGTGGAGGAAATGAGGAACATAAAGTGTTGGAAAGAAGGTGACACTTCATTTGGATCAGACCTCAGACTAGAATGTGAAAAGGTCATTTAACACCTAGACCTTTAGATGTTGGTGGCCAATCATGCCACACAGACCCCTGGAACTGTGAGACTGAAACCACGCACAGTGGCTGCTTTGGGCAACTGGCCTACACATGATCACATAACTATGTGGAGTTATGATCTCTTCCTCTCTGCCTCACCATGTTGGGACACCACATTTACCTCAATTAAAATGATGAACATGTTCTTCAAACTTGGACTAATGGCAGTGATAAGGGGAAAGTAAATTTAGAGAAGAGAAACCAGCAGAAACCCAGTCAGGAGGCAGCTGCAGGCACTGTCATGAGAGATATGGTCCAGATCAGTGTGGAGTAGTGAGAAGTAGTCACACATCGTGTACACTGTACTTCCTGTTAGGTTGGCTGGAGAATGTGAGATTATGATAATAGTCTAGGATTATTCAAGTTTTTTTGTTTGTGCTAGTAAAAACATGAACTTGTTTATCAAGGTAGAGAAAGATTTAGGCATCACTAATATATAGTTAAATATTATGTATAAATTTTTTTTTTTTTTGTTGCCCAGGCTAGAGTGAGTTCCGTGGCGTCAGCCTAGCTCACAGCAACCTCAAACTCCTGGGCTCGAGTGATCCTTCTGCCTCAGCCTCCCGGGTAGCTGGGACTACAGGCATGCGCCACCATGCCCGGCTAATTTTTTATATATATATCAGTTGGCCAATTAATTTCTTTCTATTTATAGTAGAGACGGGGTCTCGCTCTTGCTTAGGCTGGTTTCGAACTCCTGACCTTGAGCAATCCGCCCGCCTCGGCCTCCCAAGAGCTAGGATTACAGGCGTGAGCCACCGCGCCCGGCCTGTATAAAATTTTTGAATGAAAGTGTATAAAATGGCAATAAAGGATTAAATCTGGGTGTTTTAGTCAAATTATGGAGAACAGGCATCTGTTTACATCTCCTACAATTTCTCTTTTTAGTGTTTTGTGGTTCTCTCTCTATATATGTCTCTCACCTCTTTTGTTAAACATAGTCCTAGATATTTAGTGGATATTTTCATATTCTATGAACAGTACTATAAAGTTTATAACTGGGCACCAACAGTATAAGGTGATTATAAAAATTTCAGGTGACAAGATGACAGGTGTTGGTTGGTTCAGTGGCAACAGCTGGCAAGGTGAGAAACACAGGTGACAATACTAGGAAAGGAGAACAACTTTCTCACCAAGATCAGTTTTATGAAATGACCTTCATGAATGCACACACGTCAAAATGCTAAATATGATAATCGTCAGATACCACTGAATAACTGACATTCATCTTCTGTTCTTTGGCAGTTGAACTTTCTGTAGCTATAGCTGGAAGCACAATGCTGCTGGCATTGATATTGATATATTCGGGACATTTAATTCTCAGTGCCCCTGAAGAGAAGCACAGGCAGGGAAAGTGGCACTGTGCATGATGGAGACAGAAAAATACTTCAAGGGTCTGACCATAAATGCTGTAATACATACTTGGGGAAATACTGAAATTCCTGTATTTCTAAAGGTTTGCATTTTTATAACCATCATGTCCCTTTGCATCAAGAAAACAGTCGTACCAACCGTGTCAAATATTGAACATAGAGGAATATTTCCAACTTTAAATTGGGAATTTAGAGGGAAGTGCTTTCTTTCCCCATGCATGATGATGAGGAGCAGTGGAAGTTCCTTCTCACTGACATTATCACTAGCATTATCTTCCCTACATGTATGACATGCAGGGCTTTTAACATGTAACATGTAAATCTTATAATGTTCGAAGACATAGAGGATTTCTACTGTTCAAATGTCTTTAGTGGGCCAAAAATGGGAAAATAAATTCAAGTATATCATTAAAAGCAAACAAACAAAACATTAACTTACTAAGGAAGATAGAAAGAGAGAAAGAGTAACAAAAGAACTATAAAACAGAAAACCATTAACAAGGTGTCAATGGTTAAGTCTTTAAGTATAAATATGTACCTTATATATAAATAGATTAAACTCACTAATCAAAAGATATAGTGTCTGAATGGATAGAAAACCAAGATCCAAGTAAATGCTGTTGACAAGAGACTTACCTTAGATTTAGTATAAGGAAGGAAAAGATTAGGGGAGAAATAGATGAAGTAGAAATAGTTGTCCACCTTAAGTATGTAAATGTTTATTTGCCAGCTGTACCTCAGTAAAGCTGGAAAAACAAAATACAAAGTTATAAATTTTCATTTATGCAAGATAAATGAGCCCTAAAGATCTAATGTATAATATAGTTCCAATAGTAAATTTACTGTATTTTATATTGGAAAAGAACGCTAATAGGGTAGATCTTACATTAAGTGTCCTTACCACAGAGAAAATATTTAATAATAAAAGTTCAGGAGGAAATTCTGGAGTTATTGGATGCATTTAGGGAATAGACTGTGATGATGGTTTCATAGATGTACGCTTATGTCTATATCATCTAGTTTTATACATTAAATAGCTACAGCTTTTTGAATGCCAGTCATACCTCCAGAAAGCAGTTTCTTAAAAAGGCAGAAAAATAATAGAAAAATAGAAGCAAAGAATAAGTTCAATGCTTTCCAAACGGTGACACTCGTGGTATATACTAATCCAATTACATTAATAATTATTTTAAACTTCAGTGGTCTAAATATATCAGTTAAAAACAGATGGTAGAGTGAATAAAAATCTATGTAGTATCTGCAATGAAACCTCTCTCTATATAAAGACAGAGTTTAAAAGTAAAGGTATAAAGAATGCTCTGCCATCCTAACACTAATCAAAAGAAAGCTTAGTTAGAGCCAGAAGACTTTATAACAAGGGAAAGCATCAGGAATAAAGGGGCGCATTGGGTACTAAGAAAAAGGGTCAGTTATCTAAGAGGGTATAAAAATCCTTAATGTGTATATGCCTAATAACAGAGGATCAACATACTTGAGGAAAAACTGGTAGCACTGCAAGGAGAACTCGATGAATCCACTATTATAGTTGGAGACTTCTGCACTTATCAGAAATGGACAGACATAGCAGACAGAAAATCAGGAAGGTCATAGTTGAACTCCACAGTGCCAACAGTCAACTGGATAGAAGTGACATTTATAAAACACTTCATCCAGCAACAGAATAAGGGGACCTTCACCAAGACATACCACATTCTGGACCATGAAATACACATTGAACAATCTAAAATAAGAGTAATCACAGAATGCATGCTCTGTGCCCTCACGCCCAGTGGAATCAGACTAGAAATCAACAACAGAAAGACACGTGGAAAATCCCAAGATACATCGTGATTTAAAAAACACACTTGTAAGTAAAACACAGGTGAAAGAAGACGAACATCGGAAGAGAAATTAAAAAGGAAGCAGTACGTGTGCCTCCCACGGGAGGGCGTGCGGTGAAGGAAAGTCAGGAATCGCCGCAGCCCCAGCACAGCCGGTGGGAGCTGAGCTGCACCAACGGCAGGGAGGGACCGCAGTCCCGAGCCGGCTGAGCACTCGGGGGACAGAAG